CAAGCAAAAGCCAACACAGAAAAGTTGTGTGAAAAAAGCTAAATCAACGTAACTCATCGATCGAAGAAACAAAGCAACCTCGGCATCTGATTCCCTTCCGCTCCTTGAGTTTCTCCACCGCTGGAAAGTTGCTCTAATATTTACACGGGTCTTGACTGATCGTAACCATTCTTTTTAATGTTTTGTGCCTCCGAAATGTTCCTCTTTTTAAAAATTTTTTATCTGCCATCTCTCGCTATCTCTAGTCAATCTGCTAATATCCGTCCTGTGCATTCACTGAGCTTACTAGACACGCCCCTTACTGCTGATTGGCTGCGAGTGTGTTTTGGGACTCGGTCCGACACTGTGGTCAGAAGCGTTTGTTCAAAAATCGCTTAGTGTACCTTTAAATAAAAATTAAAAAGTTGAAGTAATATCTGAAGCTGCAGTTCTACAGTCTAACCACCAGAAGACAGTGTGCAGATTTACATCACAGACCACACTAGATTTACACTTTCAGCATTTACAAATTAAAGGGATCATGACATACATAGAACTAAAATAAACCACTTGTTCCTGATGCTGGGATCCTTCTGAAGTCTCTACAGAGACACAAATGAGCTACGTTTAGGACTGTGGCTGCATCACTCGCATAATTGCACAAGAAAGGCACACGTGTCGTTCAGTTTTGAGTTAGCTGGAAAATCATACTGAGTAAGTGCACAGTATAGTTATTGTAATTTTATTATTCCTAGAATATGTGGTAATATTATTTGTGGTTGATCGTGTTAAAATGTAAGAATTGGCATTGTGTTTTCTCATGAAGTATGCATACTATACTAAGGTACTGTGGGGAATACACCACTCTTGCATTCACCTGCATCTCTCACAGTAAGGGGGCACTCGTTCAGTTTTCAACTCCATTCAGAATCTTTGAGTAAGTGTGCATTCACTATTTTACAGATGTTACTTTCATCTACCACAGTTGGCTAATACAAAAGTAATTGTATGTGCATAATCATGGTTTTTCAAAGATCATTAACCTCACTACAATGAAGCCAAATTGTTCAGGAAATCAGAAATAAATGAATACTCAACTTAATTTTGCAAATAAAAGAATGCTAATGTTGTTCATGTTATAATGACTAATTTTATTTTATTAATTTTTTTCTGCCTATGCATGTGTCAAAAACATGACTGGCACAGACAAATAAGGTTATATCATGTAATGAACAACAGCCTAATCAACCAAAGTAGCATAATCATTTTGTTATGTGCTTACACAAAGTAGACATAAAATATACTTTAAGTAAGGGTAACATAAGTATGTTTTAAGTAAATACACTAAAAAGTCACTAAAAGTATGCTTGTGTTTAGCATATCCCTTAAAAGTGTAACTAAAATATATTTATTAACATAGTATTTCTACTATACTTTTTAGAAATATACTAATAGTGTGCTTGTGTTTAGCATATTCCTTAAAAGTGTAACTAAGCATATATTTATTACCAAAGTATTTCTAGTATACTTTTTATAAATACATTAAAAGTATGCTTCTGTTTAGCATATTTCTTAGAAGTATAACCAAGCATATATTTAATACAAAAGTACTTCTAGTATACTTTTTAGAAATATATTAAAATGCAATTCAATATATTTTTTATTGCACTTCAAATAAGCATGTTGGGAATACAAATGTATTATAAACATACTACTTGAATTTCAAGTATATATTTAATACATTTAATACTACGTCTTTTTCACCTGGGAAGTGTATTCGTTTGTGTAATTGTAGTCTGAGATCTTTTCTACTGTAATAGAGCTTTCACAGTAGTTGCTCCTAAATTGTTGAACAGTCTTCCACTCTATATTCGGCAGGCCCCATCTATAGAAGTTTTTTAGGTCTCAGTTGAAAACGCACCTTTTTTAACTTGGCTTTTGAAGGAAAAATTCTTGAGCAGTGTCTCTGTGTGTGTCTCTGGCATGATAAATAGTTTTTGGTATTTGTGTGTAGGCACATTTAAGTTTTTTTTTTTTTTTTACTCTTATATTTTGTTATTCATACTTTTTTTATACGTTTTTCTTTTGCATTAAATGTGAAGCACTTTGAGCAACAAAGATGTTTTTAAATGTGCTATACAATTACAGGTGCACTAAGCCTTTTAATAGCGCCCCACACGTACGTACACAACCCAGGCAGCGACGATGGCGGAATCTGCCATGCCTGCCGGCCGCAGCATATTCAAGCAAAAGCCAACACAGAAAAGTTGTGTGAAAAAAGCTAAATCAACGTAACTCATCGATCGAAGAAACAAAGCAACCTCGGCATCTGATTCCCTTCCGCTCCTTGAGTTTCTCCACCGCTGGAAAGTTGCTCTAATATTTACACGGGTCTTGACTGATCGTAACCATTCTTTTTAATGTTTTGTGCCTCCGAAATGTTCCTCTTTTTAAAAATTTTTTATCTGCCATCTCTCGCTATCTCTAGTCAATCTGCTAATATCCGTCCTGTGCATTCACTGAGCTTACTAGACACGCCCCTTACTGCTGATTGGCTGCGAGTGTGTTTTGGGACTCGGTCCGACACTGTGGTCAGAAGCGTTTGTTCAACTCCACCGCTGGAAAGTTGCTCTAATATTTACACGGGTCTTGACTGATCGTAACCATTCTTTTTAATGTTTTGTGCCTCCGAAATGTTCCTCTTTTTTAAAAATTTTTTATCTGCCATCTCTCGCTATCTCTAGTCAATCTGCTAATATCCGTCTTGTGCATTCACTGAGCTTACTAGACACGCCCCTTACTGCTGATTGGCTGCGAGTGTGTTTTGGGACTCGGTCCGACACTGTGGTCAGAAGCGTTTGTTCAAAAATCGCTTAGTGTACCTTTAAATAAAAATTAAAAAGTTGAAGTAATATCTGAAGCTGCAGTTCTACAGTCTAACCACCAGAAGACAGTGTGCAGATTTACATCACAGACCACACTAGATTTACACTTTCAGCATTTACAAATTAAAGGGATCATGACATAGATTTTGTTATTATTATTATTTGAATATGTTCCTTGAGGTTCCTGTGCCTCTTTACAAAACAAAATGCTCCGAACAAACATAGAACTAAAATAAACCACTTGTTCCTGATGCTGGGATCCTTCTGAAGTCTCTACAGAGACACAAATGAGCTGGTTAAACTGGACACATCAAAGTGAACATTCTTTCCCTCTTCCATTTTTCAGCTGACTCAAGCATGTGGAGAACATCAGAAACTGAACATGCACCAGGATACTGTATCCAGTGTAGACAGCGTCAGTGATTATAACAGGCTCTATTTGCTTTGGACGTGATGTGATTCTTGCATCTGGTGTCACTCACAAAGGTCATGACCTCTTTAAAGACACTTGGTTTTACTTGTATTGAAAATGTATAGGTAGATATAGAATCATATACATAGAATCATTTCATGTGGGATTTAGATAAAATGCCATATACAAAAATAAATTAAATAAATAAATAATGAAAGGTTTGCGTTTATTACATTTAATTGTGCTTTTTATGCTGTTTCCAGATTTAATGGAAAGATAATAATTACATGAGAATTATGATGATGAAGACCCTGGACTGATTTGAAGTTGGTGTAGAAACATCCATTAGCGTATCATCATCCCCTCAAATGATCCTGCAAAAAAACAATAAAGATGATCCAAGACAGTTTGGTAAGGATGCCTAAACATATCAACACATCAGAACAGCTGAAAGGAGCTTTAGCTGCTGAAGATATGCAGAAAACTCTTCATCAACACAGTAATGGGTAGCATTCATTTGCACTGAATTTATACCTAAATAAAAACACACACACAATGCCTGTAATTGTTTAGGACCTTGAGGTTTTACACCCAGTTTATAGGATGAAACTCATCAGATGACCTCATTATGATCATTGTGATGTAACGGGTGCTAAACTATGAAATAATGATCAGACGAATTTAACTGAAAGTTCAAATGAATAGATTTTACTCCATCTCTATCTATTTTTCTTGTTGAATATTATGGTGAGATGCTGTTTTCTTTGTCATTTACTCATATCATGCCTCGTTTTCACCGACACTCGAGAACTTTTACCTGCACCAAATGTTGTCAGTCAAGATCAGATATGCATATCCTCATATACATTCAATCATTCATATCCTTCTGTTCAGTCATTCAGTTTTCAGGAGAGCAACTTATTTACATAATTGTGTAACGAGGAAATAAATAACCACGTTCAGAAGAGCTTACTACACACATATTTCTGCAAGAATGTAGATGGTTAACCGAATGACCAACCTTAACAATTTCTTCCAGATTTTTATTTCACTTGGGGAGCCCACAAAATATCTTTCAGCAAAAAGAGTATCGTATGGAACTTTTAATTTATTCTCTGAGATGAGGTTCGTATTATGAGTTACGTTATTGCATTACGAATAAAGAGAGAGAGAGAAACACTAAGAAAACAAATCATTAGATTAAAAACGAAATTAATAACATTCCAGATGTCAGAGACAGCTAGTTTTCATTCCTTAGTGGGCGTGTTTTGAGTCAGTTTTTGGGCTATAAATGTTTCTGGCACCTGGCAACCCTGAAACTGCTTGACAGAAGCTGCACTTTTGAAGGACTGAAGCTCCACCAAAGACCTTCTGAGTTTTAGACTTGCAACACCCAGAAATGTCTGAAAACAGAGAATTAAGCCGACATGGACATGAAGGTAAGGACACTTTAATAGTTGGCCTAACATTGAAAAAGCTCTAGTTTTGTTTGTTAATATATGTATTTTATTTACTTCTAAAATGTTTCATTTTCTAACTTGTTTTATGTGTATAAATGATGTGGCTCCTCCAAAGCACTAAGGATATTTTTAGACTCAGAATTTACTGAAAACAGAGAATTAAGCCAACATGGACATGAAGGTAAAGACCTTTAGTTGGCATTACTAACATTGCAAAAATTCTACACTTAAGATTTATTTGCTAGTGTTATGTAACTTCTAAAATGTTTTATTTTCTAACTTTGGTATGTTTTATGTGTATAAATGATGTGGCTCCACCAAAGACCCATGGAGATATTTAGACACAGAAATGTCTGAAAACCGAGAATTAAGCCTCCACGGATCTGTTGGTAAGTGCAGTTTACTAGTTGGCCTATATTTACTGACAATGCAAAAACTCTACAGCATAGAAATTCTCATAATTCTGCTTAGCTAAAAATACAGAATTATGTTAGACACTATAGCTTGCATAAAGTTGCGGAATCAGTACAGTATGTAATAAGTGACACTGATCATATAAAGGCACTATACACTTTACATGTTATAAATTATTATTTAATGTTTTTACTATTTGAAAAAATAGACTTAGCATTGTCTATTGTTGGTTTTGCTTTTTCTTTCACAATTTATATAGCCTAGAATTATCACAGATTGTATTCATTTGAAATATTAAGTGCATATCAAGTAAAAGTTTCCTTACAAATTTTTTATATATATATATATATATATGTATATTCTAATCTCAGGTATTAGCCTATTGGTACAAGCAAATATTCTCTGTAATATACATCTATATTGACATTACATAGTACTTTAATAGAATCATTAAACCTCTAGGAACTTTAATTTTGATTTTGCATTAATCAATCTGTCCAGTCCCTCCAATCCTGACCCATGGCTCAGGCAGTGAATTCAAAAGTGATTTCAACCAAGGTGGACCATTGTTCTGATGATTTGTGTTACCCTGTCAAATTTTGCTCCTTCCCATTGAAACAGTAGCACAATGCGACAACCATGGGTGGCGCTAGAGAGGGGCTAGCAGGTGCTTCAGCACCCCCAAGAAAGACAAAAGCACCCCCACAGATTTTTTTCCTGGAATCAGTTATATACAGGCTGTAGCCTATTGTGTTATATAAGCTGATAATAAAAAAAATAAACATTTGACTCCTTACTCATGCATAACTTGTGTAATACAATAATGACATGATTTGCAGCCGTCGCACTTTTCGTGATGTCATTAGCATTTTATTGTAAAAATGGAGCGCTTCCTTGAGCTAAGTAGACCTGCCTTCGACTAAAGATTTTTCGAGTCAAATAGTCACACGTTATATCAAATTAATATAATAATATACTAAACCATCCTTTAATATATAGGCAGGCGTTTTATAGCCTATTTGCACAAAAAACTATTGCAAAGCACCGGCAAAAAGATTATGAATGTGTCGGGTAAAAATAATTTATTTATTTATTTAATTTAATTTATTTATTAATAAACTAGTGCTTTCTGAGTCAGTGTCGGCTGCAAAGATGAAGTTGCCAAATGCTGACGCTGACTCGGCATCTCCACATGGACCTGCCTTTAACAGAAATGCACCTTTTCATACGGACTACATAATTAGAGAATATTACAAAATCGAGTAGGCGAGTTTTCCTTATATTTATTTTATTATTCATATAAAAATAATAATAACCTGATTTGGTTATATTTACTGTTAATTGGCCAGCTCCCCCGTCAGTGATCTAGCACCCCCGGCGACAACAAAAAATGCTAGCCATCAGATTATGCTTGATTAACACCTACCCCAACCCTAAACCTACCCTTACAGTAATAAAAATACAGTTATTATGTGTTGTTGTTCAGCGTGAGAATTGATACAATATTGATGTGGACAATCTGACAGGTAGGATGAAATATCAGGACACCGTACTTCCCTGAAGTCGATTTCAAATGAGGAGTTTTTGCTCTCTGTTCTTGTTTCGCAATTTTTTTCTCATAATTGAGAGATATAAACTCACTTTATAAAGTTATAAAGTCAGAATCGCAAGACATTAACCTATCCTCTATCCTTTATTACCGTATCACTAACATCAGTCTTGCATGTAAACCTGTAGAGGAAATGATTTTGTTTTGTTTTGTAATTTTTTTTGTGTGTTTCTGCCATCTTGTCCTTTTCAGGTTTTAGTCAGATAGCCTTGTACACACTTCCTTTAAAGGTTTACCTTAATGTAACACATTTTCTTGACTGTTGTTAGTGATACAGTAAGTAGGGGGTGGGGGCTGCTGTTGTTTAAAAAGGTTTTTTATTCCCCCATTAAATTAAATTTATCCAGATGTACCATGTGCAATTCATACTTGTCAATGAATTTCTTGTTTGTGTGTAATTTTTATTATTTTATTGTATTTGTAAATACAATAAAGTTTCAGTTAAATTTAATACTAATACAAATTTATTTTATTTAACTTAACTTTTAAAAGTTTTGTTAACTTACAAAATAATGGAATACATGATTGAAAACTGAGTCATAATAACTTATTCATTAAGTATACTTAATAAAAACTTTAATTAAACTGTAATCAAAAAGTACATGGAGCATGTAATCCAAATATTTAACTTCTGGAACATATGATTTTTAAGTTTAACTTTTTAAAAAATCAGGCAATGTGTTGCCTTATTAATTTTTTTTAGTTCTGTTAATTTATCAGGGTTTACAGTGTACACAACAGTCTAAATCAAACCAAATAAGGAACTAACAGCTTGCAGGTTAAGTAAAAATATATTTTCACATTCATGATATTCTCAGTGAAAAATGGCAGCTACAATGAGGTCAATTTATATAAAGCTTTTTTTTCTAAATGTCTGTCTATGCACTGCAGTAAAGCTAATTTGTTTGATTTTCAGATAAAGAACCTGGTCAAATGTATACCAAACAGCTGCGTAAAGGACAACCCAGAGTAGATTTCAAGGTTTTAAGTGACATACATACGAGCACTCAAAGAAAGGAATTACGAAAACTGACAACATGGAAACCCAAAACAGAAATTCAAAAAGAGCCAAGGCTGGAACTTGCATCAGCTAATGTTGGTCTAAGCAACATCATACACATGGTTGACACATGGGAAAGACCAGCAGATGCCAGCGCAGAAGGCACCTATGCTCGAAGTGGAGTAGAAATAATAAAACCTGAAAACAGACCAATGCATAGAATTCCCAGGGCTAGAGTATTTGCAGAAGCAGGAGTTGGGCAAGCTCGTGCTGAATTCAGTGTATTTGAGGCAGAGGCCAAAGGCCCCAATGCCTGTGCTAGCGCTGAAGCCAGTGCAGTTGGAGCCAGAGCAATGGCTCGAGCCGAAATTGCCAGTGCATCTGCTATAGCCGGTCCAGTTGATGTGACACTGGGACTTGGACTTGACACGGGCGCATCTGTTGGTCTGGATGGGGTGGAGGTAAAATTTCTGGGAACTGGGTTCAAATATGGTCCAAAAACCAGTTTATCTTTTCTGGGTTCAGAAGTGTCATGTGCAGTCATGTAGTCACATATGTGTTATCTTTGAATGATATGTAAAGTTTTATGATAAAATCCCAGGTAGGATGAAATGTTTAAAGGCATAATTAGTTCTTGTTTAGCTATAAAACACAATTATACTTAAATAATATGAAAGCATAATAACAAATAATGTTTCTTTTTTATTATTTCATAATTATAATTGGTTGTTGGATTATGGATTTTTTGTGTGTTAGATTAAAGACTTTTGAATATTCTTCTTCATCATTTTGTGTGTTTATCAGCATAGCTGTGAAAGTAGACTGGACCTCAAAAATAGTCTAAAAAAACATTTTTCTCGGTTTATTTTTCGGTTTATCAGTGTCATTTTGCACCATCACCCTGCTCTGCCTTGAGCAGGGAAATAGCACCTAGATCAATTCCTCAGTCTCGCTCATCTGACCACCTTCCTGGACGCTCCTGCACGCCGGCCTGAACACCGCCACCAGAGTGCATTTGTCTGGGGAGGGTCCTCGAGGGAGCTTGGCAAACTACGTAGAATGGTTGCTGGTATCATGCAGATCATCTATGACCATCAGAGCAGCTGACAATGACACCAGCCCTAAACCTAGCCCAGTGCCCAGCAGTCACCACCCCGCTGCACTGAGCGTCTGCCTGAGCCCACCGTGACTAAAGAGCCATTGCGACAAGAAGTGACTGAGCCTGTCATCGGCTGCGTCCGAAATGGCATACTTCCATACTATATAGTAGGCAAAAAGCAGTAGGTGAGCAAATAAGTATAAGAGTAGGTGAAAATTGCCCTAATTCTCGCGAGATTCAGTCGTACGTATACTTAATTTGTGTTTTAATACGCTCTTCTGTGTCAGCCGCGACACAAGGATACGTTTTCTACGTGTATTTACACTTTGATTTGAAAGAAAACAGCGCATCCTTGTGGTGCGGCTGACACAGAATAGCGTATGCTGCCTGCGTTCAGCTCATATTCTCCAAAATGGCACTACGGTGATGCAGAGAGACACAGAGGAGACAAATTGTTGAATAAAGTCATTATTTTTGTTTTCTTCGTGTACAAATAGTACCACTGATGGCAGATGTACTATTCTGACAATGCTTTTCATACTTTTCTGGACCTTGACAGTGTAATTTACCTGGCAGTCAATGGGACAGTCATAAGCCTCCCGGTTTTCATCCAAAATATCTTAATTTGTGTTCTGAACACAAACAAAGCTTTTACGGGTTTGGAACGACATGTGGGTAAGTGATTAATGACAACATTTTCATTTTGGGGTGGAGTATCCCTTTAAGGATAAAATTGGAAATACAAAGACCAAAAAATGCCCTTTTTGAACAAGACAAAAAAAAACACAAACTTATTTAGCTACAGTATGAAAATGTAACCAGGGTCGTCAAGCGTCCTAGTGTAGGAGCCGAGGCTTACCAGCAGGGAATAAAGCTAAGTTGGCATAATACAGCCTCCACAGCAAGTCACCTCCCCTTATACCCGTGCACCCGCACTCACACACAGCAAACACACTCCACTCCCCCATGTTTCACACAACACTCGTGAAGGGAGAACCGCTACCAGACATCCGCCCCTGCCTTAGGCACTCAGCTCCTGCAGAGAAAACAGAGTTATGTTACACAGTATACAGAAGAGACAACAGGGTTATAAGAAAAATAATAAAGTAACTTACAAAATGGGTTCAAAAAGAAAATACGTCCTCCTATACTTGCACGACCCAACAAAATAAACTCAAGTACACGAAACACAAATAGTGAGTCACAGAAATAAAGCAAAGCTACTAATGTAAGAAACAATGGAAAATAAGGGAAAATACTCTAGACGGGAAAATACTACTAGAATGCAAGGAAATCAATAAAGAAGAAGGGAAATTAACTCAAATTAAGTTACAGAACAATCATCAAAAAAATGAAACCACAATTCAAGACAACGGCACCAATGAATTAATGCAAGGAAGGAATTAATGAAACACTAACTCTCAACACAGAATAAGGCAAACCACACACTCTTCATAAACCTCAATGCATCACTACACACACAAACAAATTTAAACAGCTTTATTAAATAGAAGCAACAGCGGATTGCAACAGAGTGATTCCTGCGTCGTCGTCACCACAGAACTAATCGCCCAAGGATACGAAACCAGATGGTCTGTATTAAACAGAGCAATTATTAAAAATCGAACCCTATAAAATCTCAAAAGAATGCCCAATACCCCATTTAAGAGAATGCACCAACCATGAGAAGAAAAGTTCTCCAACTCAGTCGAGCAGATAAGCATACATGTTAATGGCTCATTCAGTTTACACTGATCTGGAAACAGTGTTTATGAGACACCGGCATGAAAAATACACTACAGTTTACTGTAGTAAAAACTAAAGAATACTACAGTATTCTGCTGAGGGGCAACCTCCTTCAAAATGCCTGCCACAGAACCTCATCAGACATGCTGCTCTGACTGTCGACCATAGATGACGCAAAGCCGCAGGCGGAATCGTGACCGCATTCCGTCAAGCCAAACAGCCTATATACCCTCCCGCTGGCTGCGGATAGGGCAGCCCATGAACAAATCCACCAATCACATGTGGACAGAATGGATTTCGCTACACCTACCACAATTGGATAACAGGTTTGCATAGTAAACTACCTTTCTGTATGTCTGTTTGACAAGCTACACGTGAGCTGAAACTTCATTAAAAATAAAGTTCAACCACACATTCCTAATATTTGAATCCGAAGGAAGGTTATGCAGCAACTGTGTTCTTCCACAACCAGGTACTGCACTATATTTTGTGATCTTCAAAGGCATGTTTATTGCTTGGTTGCTCGATCCGGTTTAGCGCCACTTACATTATTTCCCTACTATGTCATGTGTGAATCAGTGGGCGGGGCTACAGAATTGGGCATTGATCTTCTTCCGTGGAGGCGGTGTTTAGCCTATCTATTAAGTCATAGGTAGGTACATTCCAGGAACTGGCATTTGCTGGGCCTGGTGTCAATAAAAGCTTTTATTTCAGTAACAAGGACGTTTTCAGTTCTGAAACTTATAGGATATTCTTTTTGTACAATTACCTCTTATATATATCAAAAGCTCAAATAAATGTTGATTTCTTAATTCATGACCCCTTTAATTAACAACTTAATAAACAATTTGAAAGGACATATATTGAAGCGGAAATGGATTCCAGAATCCGCCCCTTCATTCCCCCATTTAAGACTAATATGGGGTCCAATATCCCACATCTGGTCTACCAAATTAGGATGCTACGGAAGGCAGAGTGGTGATGCATGCTTCCCTGATGGGTTACAATTGTCTTTCCACCCCATCATGGACATGCTGGGAATGCTGGTCTGTATTGGAGGGGCTCTCCCACCTTCCTCTCACAACAGGGCGTCAATGTTGTCTTTTGTCAGCTAGTGGTGCAGGCTGTTCGTTAACCTCAGCAGCCACATCTCTTTCTTAGCAAAGCTCACTGTTCTTGAATAGATACCAGAAACAACAGCAAACAAACATCCATATATACTGTATAAACATACTAAAATCAATCCAAAAGTATATGGCACATATTTTAATTGGATTGAATTGAATTGAAACGATTAATTATTGCCGTTCTCCTTAGACAACATTGTATTTAACAAACTCACAAACATCAGTGTGTATTTAACAAATGTCCTTTTTGCTAGTAATCTAGTAATTTATCTAGTAATTAATTGAAATGTCTGAAACCGAAAATAAATTGTACGTGGTTGAAAAACTGAATCGTTGTGATATAGGCCATGAAAAGCACAGAGCGCATCTATCTCTGGTTCAGTGCAAGACAAAGTGCAAAAGCACGTATGAATTTACACCGGTGATGGTCCACATTGAATGGTTAAAATTGACACGTTTTAGTGGGTTGGAGGGGAGCAAATTGAATCTGAGGTGGCACAAATCACTGTGTCGGAGGATCTGTCCTGGGGCAATAACATCACCTTAGTTGTAGGGAAGGCCCAGCAATGTCTCTTTTTCCTGAGGAAGCTGAAAAGAGCTAAACTGCTCCAGAAATTCATGATACATTTCTACAATTGTGCAATTCATAGTGTGCTGACTTATGGGCTGCTAGTGTGGTTCTCCAGCTGCACTGTAGCTGAACAGCAGATGATTCAGAGGGTGGTGAAAACTGCTGGTAAAATCATCGGGACTGTCCTCCCGGAGGTTTCTACTGTGTACACCTCCCGCTGCCTGCGTAGGACAATTAATAGTGTGCTGACTTATGGGCTGCTAGTGTGGTTCTCCAGCTGCACTGTAGCTGAACAGCAGATGATTCAGAGGGTGGTGAAAACTGCTGGTAAAATCATCGGGACTGTTCTCCCGGAGGTTTCTACTGTGTACACCTCCCGCTGCCTGCGTAGGACACACAACATCATAAAAGACCGGTTTCACCCAGCACACAGTTTGTTCACTGTTGTCACTGTTGTCAATGTCATTCCTACGCATTTGCACTTATGAAATTGCACTATCGATTGATGCTCTAATGTAATTTCGTTGTTCTACAGCAATGACAATAAATTATTATTATTATTATTAATAAATCAGATCTGCAAACCCTGCAAGCACAAATAAATAAAACAAACAATATCTTTTCCCTTTAAGGATTAAACTGGGACCGAATATCCTACAGAGCATGTAGTGCATTGTTGGCCTTCAGGACATTAGACACAGTTGTCTTTACCTGTCTTAAACAGCTATGATGGCTTTTAGTTAATTTGGTCATATCAGAAAAATGAACTGATTACAAAAAAAAAGCACATATTTATTCTCTGGAAGCGTGTCAGACCTTCAGTCACCCCACAGATACCAAATACAGATATTGTTTCTAATCCAAATACCGGGATAGATACACTAGTTTTACAAAAATTATGATTTCTAATTCATTATACAAGAGAATGGGTTGTAAATCTACTCCTTTCACTTTACCCTCATGAACCATTTTTGGGGTTCAATACATGATGGTGGTCTCACTAATAATACAGAAATGAGAACCAGAATAATCCATCTAAGAACTTTAAATTTAAGACAAACATCCTTCAATTTAACTTATAATTGCAGAACATCTTAAAATATATTAAAACATGTAAATAAAAGAAAACAATTAAAATTTTTACTGAACCTTGAATAATAGTTCATAATTTTTAACCTAATAACCATTTTAAGTTTCCCTTAGATCCAGTTTCCAAACATCATAGCCCATATCATATTTAAACATATTATAACAGAAACTTAAACCTGTCAATATTACATAATTTAATCAAAATTACATTATAAGTACAAACATATATAACTTTAATAATATATTTTATATTTATATTTTATATAACTTGTTCAAGAACTGACAGATTTCACAACGCTATCACCATATAAACAATATTGCTCTGATCTAAACTGCCAAATATTAATTAAAAGGCATCCTCCTGTAAAATTGATTTGAAACATTGTACATTATCTAAGCCCTGTCAATGATCATAATAATATTAAATTGATTTGCCTTGCCAGGTGTTCACGAACAGTTCCATAAATCCTGTCACAATTTTTTTTCGTAACATTAATTTTAGCTGCTGAATTTCATTTCATTATAACTACCTGTAACTGTATTTCTCCATCAACTGGTTAGCCAGCAGATTCAAAAGTTTTCGTTTAACTTATCTCTAGTGTTCTACATACACAAAAAATCACTCAGACCTCAACATTGAGGACACACACACACATGTATGGAATGTATGCACCACACTCTTACCATTATACTGGACTTTCATCTTAGTCTGGCAGTCTACCAGATGAGCTCTAGCAATCTCACAGGCTTTGTGAAGCCGCTCACGAAAATAACTTGCGTGGTCAAGGATAGACATTGATGAGGCACTCCGAGACAACAACTGCTCAAGCTTAAGCTTAGCTTAAGTAAGCTTAAGGGGACCTCTTACTGTATGTCCAAAAACCAGTTCTGCTGGACTAAAACCCAGCGATTCCTGAACACTCTCTCTCACAGCAAACATAATCAGAGGAAAACCTTCCACCCAGGGGCGGCGTTTCTGTATGGCACAGTATGGCAGTCGCCATACCTTAGCCCAGTCAAATGTGGCGTGGAAAATTTTTAATATTTTAAATCAGTGCTATTGGTCTTCCTTATGTCTGAGGGTTTTACAAATATTTTTCCAATGACAAGCATTCAAAAAAGCTTGTCCCTAAAGCTCGTAACGCCATTTGATCCTCAAACTGTCAGCAAAACCTCGTAACTTCATTCCAACTCCACTCCAAGTGCCGCGCACAGCCTGGAGACAGTATTATTTGCAATGCAAGTGTAAATAAATAACTGATATTTGAATACGTACAGCGTTTTCTTTAATCAAACACTATGCCTGTAAAGGCTAATATGTTTTTATGTGTCTGAAGAGCGGAGAAGAGTCTTAGCTTTTGCTAAGACTTTTTTTACCCGTCCCAATGCAAACTGGAATGGAATCGCTCCAAAGCACCTTAGGATTGTGGGAGGTAAGCACTAGCCAATTGATGCTTAATACCCAACTCACTTAACATCTGCGAAAACAGTCTGGGCGTAAAATGATTGCCCTGATCTGACTAGATCTCCTGTGGCAAGCCAAAGATGGAGCAGAACCTAATAAGCTCTTGCACAACCGTCCTAGCTTTACGAGTGCACAGAGGAACTGCCTCGGGGCAACGAGTCGCAGCACACATAACAGTCAAGACGTACTGGTGCCCTTACTTTGACTTAGGCAAGGGCCCTACTCAGTAAATGATTAATCGTTCGAATGGCTCACCGATAACTGTTATCGGAATAAATGGGGCTCGGGGAACAGTTTGATTTGGGTTACCTGCCAGTTGATAAGTATGACAGGAACGGACAAATTTGGACACAGAAGACTTTAAGCCAGGCCAAAAGAAATATTTGGAAACATTATGGAAGGTTTTTGCCACACCTAAGTGTTCGGATAAAGCACTTTCATGAGCTAGCTGTAGGACTTGTGATCGATAGTCAGATGGTTGCACAATTTGATAAACCTCTTGCTAATTCACATCAGAACATTGCGGCTTCCATTTGCACAGCAGCACTCGCCTACCATAGCTTCTGGCACTTGTATAATGTCCACCAATGCACTCGATTCAGCAGGTTTTGAAATGAATTCCCATCGCTTCTATGCTTACATATTCTGCATTATTATTTTTATATATTCTCTTATATGCTTCTTCCATTTTCTCTGTCTTTCCTCTCTACTACATATCCATTGAACTTAAAATCCAAGGAGCTATTTAACCATGTCTCCTGAATACACATGATGTCTGGTACCTCTTCCATTTCTGTGATGTGTTTTTTAAATTCTTGCCCATTAGCTATTAAGCTCTTAGCATTCCAATGTAGTATTAGGAAAGACATTATAACACCATGTATTATTACTCAGTCATATTCAAAGCAGCAGTTCCTTCCTTTGCTTTCAGAATCCCATGGACCTCCTCCGCTGTAACTCCTACTAACTTTAGAAATGTATTTGCACATACTACGATAGTTAGTTCTTTAACTTGCCAGACTTCCTTTCTGCCTGTGAAGTACCATTTAACACAGCACAAATGAATGCTACAAAGTCAGTTTTATTTATCATAAAATGAAGATCTGAATCATTCCTCGCAGGATTTCCACCTTTCTGTGTACAGGATTCCGCACTGATTCCTTGCACATTGGTTCTCTTTGTTTCAACTATACATTTTACTTTACAGGTGGCTTTTGCATATGGTAAATTTTGTTTTTTGTTGTTGTTGTACTTCTCGAGCTTCTTGTTGTACAGGACATCCTGCATATGCTGCACTATGTCCTCTATGATTTAAAGAGGGTGGCCTTTAAATCCATCTGTGCCCAGGCACCGCTGCATCACAATCCGGCCCTGGTTGTATTAAATTGTATTAAATCAATATGAAAGTGTGAATGTTGTATTGCTGTATATCAGTCATATGATCATCACGGTCCAATCACAGCCACCATACTGATATTCAGATCAACAGCACTCTTACTCATGAGATATGTATGAAATATTGGTAACATGGTAAAAGCAGGAAGATCCAGACCTACAAGAGTAACGTTTACTGACTATTGAACGGTAAGATCCTCAGAGAGTCAAAACAATAGAAGAATGGGAAGAGTGTGTGAGTGAAGGTGGCTGTGAATGTGTGGAGATGTGTGTTAGTTACAGAATCAGAGAATGACACCGTTCCTCTGTCATAGTCCAGATACACTCTCACACGATCAAGCTGCCGTTTAACCCGAAAACCAGAACCTATATACCGTCCCGACAGATGATACTCCACACTCCAGACATCAGTGTTGAAGAAATCACATCCCTTCCCCAGGTTTGATGCTGTAGTTACTCCAAGACACCAGCGTTGACTCTCTTTAACCTCCACATCCCAGCAGTGTGTTCCTGAGTTAAACCCCTCTGAACCCAGAACACAGGGATAGAAGTCAAATCTCTCTGGATTATCAGGAAGAGGTTGTTTGTTCCTGCAGTTTCTCACACTGGTCAGATCATCAGACAGGACAAGCCATGGATTCGCAGTGTTTGGATCCAGAATCACAGGAGCTGATGAGACACAATCAACAGATGCTGTTATTCTGATAATGATCAAGAGTGAACCACACACAGATTATTATGAATTATGACACTCATCCTGTTGATCAAACACATCAGACATTTTTCTCCGATCCTCTGTTATTAGTTTCATTTTTATCATCAGTGTTTAACATCATCAGCTACAAACATTAAATATGTGATTCAGGCATTTGTGTCTCATCAAGATAAAGTGATACTCTGGGAAAGTTAAAATAACAATAAATCATTTAGATCTGTTGAGATTTCACATTTAAACAGACAGAATCCCATTTGACTCAATTAATCCACCACTTTATCTAACATTTCTAATCTATCTATCTATCTATCTGTCCGTCTGTCTGTCAGTTTGTGTCATGAAGCACCTTTAACTCTCCACCCATCCATAATTTCCAGTGTGAGTGTGTGTGTGCGAGCTCAGATCTTCTGCAGTCAGACTCACTTTTCGGGATGATGTCCCGCATCTTCTTCCAGACTCTGAACGGCAGGTTGCCCAAATAACGCGGCACATGAATCAACGCTCCAGAAGGCATCTGTAGATCCGGCTGTGATGAGATCTGGACTCTGGAAGAACATTCAGGATCAGAACTGCAGTGGCTTTGGATCAGAAGCAGAGAGAGCAGAGACAGCAGCAGATCACTCACCTTTCCATTGAGACTGGAAACTCCTGCAGAACAAACACAACCATTGATCATCAACAACTCAATCAATCAATCAATCAATCAATGATCTAAAATCAGACCTTCAGAAAGCAGACGTCACTGGCTCTCATCATCTCCTCCATGTCTTTGATTGTGTGTGAAAGAGCTGAGATGTGTCTGTTCATCTCCTCCAGCTTCTGCTTCTTCTGCTCCTCTTCCTCTCTCAGTGCAGTGATTGTAGCTTCTTCTTCATCTCTGAGAAACTGATGAAGCTTCTCAAACTGCTGTTTAATCTGAGCCTCTGTGTGCTCAGCTTGAGACTGAAATCAAACCACATTCTCTTCAATCATCTATATCGACACACATCAACACATCGCATCATTCAGATATGAGATAAACTCAGATACAGACATATAACAGACCCAGAAGCAGATTGATGATTGTCATTTACAAAAATAATCAACTGGAATCTATTATATTATTATATCTACTATATTTATTACATGGCTTTCAAATACTTGATTCTGATTGGTCAGTCACAACAATCCGAGGTATGTTATCCCTCTGGTAAAAGCTGATAACACAGGCTGAAGTCAGCGCCGCTTGCTAGAAACAGTTTTTCTTTGTGGAAGCTTTGCCTTTAGTTAGCTTATAAAATATTAAAACTCAATTCAATATTACAGGTGCATCTCAATAAATTAGAATGTCGTGGAAAAGTTCATGAGTTTGCTGGCCAGTCAAGCACGGTAACACCATGGTCATTTAACCAACTTTTGGTGCTTTTGGCAGTGTGGACAGGTGCCAAGTCCTGCTGGAAAATGAAATCAGCGTCTCCATAAAGCTTGTCAGCAGAAGGAAGCATGAAGTTCTCTAAGATTTCCTGGTAGATGGCTGTGTTGACTGTGGACTTCAGAAAACACAGTGGACCAACACCAGCAGATGACATGGCAGACCAAATCATCACAATTAAAAGAACCAAAGACTTAAACTACTTCAGTCTGTGTGAATTGAATTTATTTAATACACGAGTTTCACAATTTGAGTTGAATTACTGAAATAAATGAACTTTTCCACAACATTCTAATTTATTGAGATGCACCTGTATGTGTCCTGATCACCCTGCCGGGGGTTATTCTGCGATAACAACTGGTTGGATGCACATTTTCCCTTACATAGTAATCCTACAGAGTGATCATTTTACTAATGAAAATGACTCTGGATTCTGTTTCCTCACCTTGATGTGTTGAACTGTTTTCTCAAACTCTCCTTTCATTGTTTTATTGTGTTTTAGGTTCTCTTGTAAGAACTTCAATGCTGCATTGAGCTCCTCCTAGAATTGAACAAAAACACATAAAACACCAGATTACAGTGAAGAGAAGACGATACAGTGATTTGATCATATGACGCTGTGGAAAAAGTATCTGCCCCCATCCTGATTACTTCTGTTTTTGTGTACATATCATACTAAATTTATTCATAAATTAAAACCTACTAAACTGCCTGAAAAAGCACAACTAAAGTTTTGGCGTGGCCTCATCAAAGTCCTTACATGAACCCAATTGAGATAATGTGGCAGGACCTTAAACAGGCAGTTTATGCTTGAAAATGCTCCAAAGTGACTGAACTAAAGCAGCTCTGCAAAGGAAAGCGGACCAGAATCCACCACAGAGCTTTGACAGACTGAGCTCCAGTTATCACAAAATATTTGGCTGCAGTTATTGCTGCTAAAGGTGGAGCGATTTGTTTATCACGTGACAGATGTTAAAACTGGTATTCACTGTTTACTGAGGTTGACTTTGTTTTATGCTGCATTTATTTTAGTCATGTTTAGCATGAGACAAAAACAGAATAAATCAGGATAGAAAATACTTCTTCACAGCACGGTAAATGCTATATGAAGTTGAGTAAAATGACAGAGAGAAATATTGAATGCATGAATGTGATGCTATTTGTGTTATGCATAATTATTTTTCTTTAAGTGCAAAACAAGACACATTTGTTGTACCTTATATGATGAAACCGCTTCACTGATGGGTCTGAATTTATGATTGTCATGTTGTTGTGAATCTCTGCACACTAAACACACCGGCTGCTTGTCCTCCAGACAGAAGAGTTTGAGTTTCTCACTGTGTAAACTGCAGATCTCCTCAGATGAATGTCTCTCATTTCTCTCCTTCAGGAACGACTCGCACAAGTTTTTTAATGCGAGATTATATGGTGGTTCTTCTCTTGAGGACCTTCTCCTGCAGACAGGACACTCCGGAGTATCCTTGGTTCTCCAGAACTGTTGAAGACACTCTTTACAGAAACTGTGACTACATGATAAAAGAACAGGAGCCTTGAAGATTTCACTAAATTTATTCATAAATTAAAACCTACTAAACTGCCTGAAAAAGCACAACTAAAGTTTTGGCGTGGCCTCATCAAAGTCCTTACATGAACCCAATTGAGATAATGTGGCAGGACCTTAAACAGGCAGTTTATGCTTGAAAATGCTCCAAAGTGACTGAACTAAAGCAGCTCTGCAAAGGAAAGCGGACCAGAATCCACCACAGAGCTTTGACAGACTGAGCTCCAGTTATCACAAAATATTTGGCTGCAGTTATTGCTGCTAAAGGTGGAGCGATTTGTTTATCACGTGACAGATGTTAAAACTGGTATTCACTGTTTACTGAGGTTGACTTTGTTTTATGCTGCATTTATTTTAGTCATGTTTAGCATGAGACAAAAACAGAATAAATCAGGATAGAAAATACTTCTTCACAGCACGGTAAATGCTATATGAAGTTGAGTAAAATGACAGAGAGAAATATTGAATGCATGAATGTGATGCTATTTGTGTTATGCATAATTATTTTTCTTTAAGTGCAAAACAAGACACATTTGTTGTACCTTATATGATGAAACCGCTTCACTGATGGGTCTGAATTTATGATTGTCATGTTGTTGTGAATCTCTGCACACTAAACACACCGGCTGCTTGTCCTCCAGACAGAAGAGTTTGAGTTTCTCACTGTGTAAACTGCAGATCTCCTCAGATGAATGTCTCTCATTTCTCTCCTTCAGGAACGACTCGCACAAGTTTTTTAATGCGAGATTATATGGTGGTTCTTCTCTTGAGGACCTTCTCCTGCAGACAGGACACTCCGGAGTATCCTTGGTTCTCCAGAACTGTTGAAGACACTCTTTACAGAAACTGTGACTACATGATAAAAGAACAGGAGCCTTGAAGATTTCACAGCACACAGGACAGATATAATCATCTTCAGCTGCTGAAGCCATTCTCACTGTTTGAGCTCCTGCGATCTGAACTTTACTTTCACTTTCTGAACGATGGTTTCAAAACTGAATCACCATTAGAATCACAAAGATCTGCTGTCTGTTCAGAAACAAATGTCTGAAAATTCCTTTTTTAAAATTGTTTTCTTCGTTCTCCACTGATCGCTGATTCTTTATAGCTTTTGTTGAGACACGAGAGCCAGTTTGACAAATAAGAGTAAAGAGAGTCTCTTCCTGGTAAGTGCTGTAAGAGGGTGGCGTTTATGATCACATGGTTGTGTTGAAACAGGTCAAAGAACAACATCGGGATATCTTCCGGTTAAAGTTTAACAAAATGCATTCAACATTAAACAGCATTGACACTCTCTCAAGTATAATATAATCTAAAAAACGTTGGATCAAAAAGAACACATGGGAGAATACAAATATTCATACACTTTATTTTTGTTTTATTTATTGCTCTTCACAGCAAAATCCCTAGTGTCAAATGATCACTGCTAGTTTATGACTCCACACTCAGGGGGCATTTACACGACACATTTTCAACTTAAAAACAAATCTTTTTATGGGTTTTTGCTGCTCATTTACATGACAACAGTATTTTGGGGGCCATGGAAACAGTTTGAAAAGTTTTTGTTCTCCATCTAAACAACTAAAATGTGAATTTGTGAAAATGGTGATGTCATGTGCATGCATATTATTTATTCAGTCTATAGACCTTATTCTCCAGAGAGATAAGTGTGCAGCCATCTTTAGAATATTGTCTTTGAACTTAAGTTTTTGCGGTGGCTCAATGTATTTCTGTGGCATCATTGTCAGAGTAATTAGTTAGTCAAGTGGATTTACTTATTGTAATGTTAATTAAAGTTATCATGAGCATAGCAATGTTTAAAGCAGATGGCTTAAGCCATTTTAATTACGGGGACACAGAAACTGTCCTCATAAACCACCTTCACATTGTAATACCCATGTCATTACACAAATTTGTGTCCTCATAAACCACACACACACACACTGTCACACGTATTTCAGTAAATAAAATAAACATTACTTAAACAGTAACACATTAATATTATGTTTTTTGTTTTTGTATATCACAAATGTATATGCAGGCATACATATTATTTGCAGCTAGTAACTGGTCTACATGCCTTTTCCAGTTCAACAGTGAACGGTGTAAGACACTGGCCCAGTTTGTGCAATACAACTGCTGGTAGCCATTTGACACTCTTTTCGTAGTTACAAACTAGCACTTTGTCTCCAGGTCTGAAACAACGATGTTTTGCTTTTAGATGTCATTCCATCTGAATGGTTTGTTGTGCTTGAACGGTCTGTTTTTTGAGGTTGTTTTCTTTCTTTTGAGCATTGCGGTGGCAGGAGACACTTTGGTGGTGGCAAGAAGGGTGTTTCTGTAAGAGAGTGGACAAGTGTTGAGGCGTTGATTAAGTGATCCTTGTGTTGACTTAAGAGCTTGCTTCATTGTCTGTACAAACCACTCAGCGAGACCCTTAGTATACGGGTGATAAGGTGCTGATCGGATGTGTTGAATCCCGTTGGCCTTCATGAAAGCACTCCTCTGAGACTAGCTGAGGCCCATTGTCACTGACAAGTTGCTGTGGAAGGTCATAAATTCCACAGTTTTCACAGAATACATGTCATCGAGACCACTCTGGCTAAATACTTAGCCTTCAGCAATATACAACATAAAAATGGCACATGAAAAATAATAGTAACCTGCCCTAATACCCCCTTGTTCATGCACACTTACAAACACACAACAAGTGCCAGGGGGCCGGTAACAATCAATAATTAAACCAGGCCTACCCAGCGAATAAGATACGCCCAACATTGCCACAATTCAATAAACCATTAAGAGCAAATAATATACTGCTGGCCTTCTTACCCGCTACCGGATGTGGAGTGCATTGTTCGGGAAAACCACCGGCGACTGCCAAACTTTAGTTACAAACTATCCCTCCCAATCGCTTCGCACACATCGCAAGAAAACATCCAGCCCATGTCCCAGCGTGGCAGCCTCGACAAGAAGCTTAGCAGCACTCACATACAAAAGACCCCCCTCACAATAGCAGACATCATACCTTTATCGATTTCCTTGCAAATGCAGCACAGGCGCTCATTTCTTTCCCCCATTGAGACGTGAGGGGGGCGCTACGATCACCCCTCTCCTTACCTAAAATGAAGAGCTTACAGTATGAAATGTTCTCGTCGCCAGTTGTTATTTATTACTTCCTATTCTCTAAGAAATACAGGTGAGATGGGAGTGAGCGTATTACCAGTGCTTGCCATTCATTTTTTCCTAAATGGCACTACTCCAAAACCTACGGTGTTTTTGTACTAATCATGTAACATATGAGGGGGTATAGAAACTCAGAAGGGATAACTGGCATTTCATAAATACACAACAATAATAATAATATGTATAATATTGTGTTTTAGTAGGGCAGTCGTGGCCTAATGTTTAGAGAGTTGGACCTGGACTACCCATCGGGAGCACCAGGAGAATTCCCGGTGGCCTGCCGTCTGATTTGGCCCGCTGACCAGTTTAAAAAAAAATTTTTTTTTTAATATGATTATTATTTAATATTATTGCCTGCCACATGTACTAAAGTGATCATTGCCGAGTTTGATATTTGGTAATAAATCCTGAATCGTTTAGTCATGACAGAGTAATCAATGTGCGGGACTCGAGGAAGGAGAGGAAGCGGCCAGAAGCAGCAGTGAAATGTAGCAAAAATACTGACCTGTTCAAGGCTTCAAGTGCAGGTCATTTTCATCTGTAAATACGCTACTGTGGTTTTGTCTTTGCTAATTTAGTTAAGGATTAAACTGCAAGCAAATGTTTGCCTATCAGTAGCATCCCAATATTCAGGGTTCGTACACATTTTTACCAATAAAATTCCATGACTTTTCCATGACTTTGAGGTAAATATTCATGACCTAATGTTTCATGAAATGTCTATGTATACATGTTAAATAAGAAGAAAAATCCATGTTTTACCACAGCATATCTTTACTAAAATAAATGACAAACTTAGTAGTTTAAATTTAGAATACAAAATAACCATTTATTTAAATAACACTGCACAGTAACACAGTAACATAACATAATACATCAAACCCTGAGAACCCCTTAGAAATGGATTAATGTAGTCCATGGTAGATAATTAACAAATCAATAGGAAGCAACAATGTTAAACTAAAAAATAATTGTCCTTAACTTTAACTGCCATAAATTAACCTCGCTGGATAACTGCAGTTAACAAGTTAACATCTTTATTTGAATTCTACATCCCCCAAAAACAATCAACACGGTTTATTTTTTTTTCTGAAAGCTTCCCATCGATCTGTTTTTTCAGTTTTGAGCAGAGATGCTTTCTTTTCTTTTGCAGTACGGAGGAAACTGTTGGATTTGGTGATTAAGGTCAGATTGCCTGAAGATTCAGCCTTTTCAGCATATTCATCCACTGATTTCTCAAGAGCACAGATGTCTGCCTCCATCCTAGCCCTCTTCTTTTTCAACTCTTCCAGCTCATCTGTGAGAGCCTTCCTCTTCAAGTGAACAGCTTGCTGTTCTTTCTTTCTCTTCTCTTCATCCAGGTACCCGTGGTATTTCTGCCTGGCTCCTGCAGCTCCTTTGTGATTTCCACCTTGGTTACGCCCCCTACAGATCTGACACGGTCAACAATCAGCCTCTGAGCCACCAGAGCTCTTTCCCTCTGATTCTCAACTATTCATTCTTTGTTGATTGAAAACCCTCTTTCGACGCTTGCCTGGATGTAGATATACATCCTCGTCTGTGTAGTGATGCACTGGATGTGTGATGTGCTGACAATACTTTCAATACTTGACAATACTATAATTCATGAGATTCGTGATATGTGTGTGGTTCTATGATAAACAGATAAAGAGCAATTTGTTTCTAATGCGATCGGTGTATCAGGTCCTGAGTCATCATAACTTCACGTGGCTAAACACGTGAGAAACCGCAAACATATAATATACACAGAATATTGAATATGTCAATAATGCATCTGATAACATATCAGGTCACAATATTAAACTGAATAACAATAAAACACTTACAATCATTAATGACGCACACGAGAAACTCAACAGGTAATTCCAACGAACTCCGAAGCAATCACACAGCATCAGCTGACCATCAGTGCAGAAAACTTCAGTCTGCTCACAATCTGTATGCTTCTGATCAATCCCCCAGCTAGATAACCTCAATCAACCTCACTTTAATAGTTTATAACAGACATTGCACGTTAGCTTCATCTTTCCACCATTGCTGCATCTGATCTCTTATTAGTCTCTCTGAACTCAGGAGACTTTGGAGAGAGAGCATGTTAAAAATAGATTTTATCGAGACAATCTGTTTGAATGAAAGTTTGTGTTTTTCTAGTAAAGGTGTTCTATTTGTTATTTTTACAGATTCAGTGCAACAACTGTAAAGTACAATTCACACCACACAGACAAACACCAACAAACAAGTTGGCTGTTGGATTTAGAATTTTATGAAAAATAACAAAAGCTTGTTCTCCGTCATTGCATCATTTAACTTTTCATTGTTTCACAATGTGGGTCCCATATAGGTATGCAAATATGAGACCTTCATGGGATATATATGGGCAAATTGATTTTACACTTAAAATACATCTTTATACCTTTAAAATTTGGTTAATAGTAACTTTTTAGCAAGGAATTTAACAGGTTTTATGGATCTGATCAATAACTACTTTTTGAATGAAAATTGGGGATGCACGATATATCAGCCACCATATCGGTATCGGCCAGTAAATGTTAATTTTTCTGTTATCGTTATCGAACCGATAAGAAAATTTGGCCGATATCTTAAAGCTGATAAATAATGCATTATTTCCTGCAGAGACACTTCAAATGCACACTGTTCGCCATAATGGTTTTTAATTGCCTGAAATATTATTGGAATCACTCCAAAAAGGAAAATACAGTGAACTGCAACATGTGCAGGGCAAGTCTGTAATATTATAACGAGATCATTAGCTATTTTAAATTAATGTTATGGAATCTTTGTTTGCCTGGGTTTTAGCGCGTTGTTACGGGAAGTGCGCATCCGCAACAGATCTACACCTTCATGACTAGCACAGTTATGTTCGCTTGTGCATTTACAGCCTTTTGTGCAATTGTACTGTAACAAAGTTTGTAGATCTGGAAGAAAGAGGCGGGAACCGGCGAACATTTAAACATAATTTAATAACAAAATAAACACAAAACTGAAAACAGCACGACAGCCACTCATAAATGACTGCCGCACAAACAGAACCAAAACAACATAAATAGTCCAGACCTGGTCCTCTCTCGTCGTCTCATCTCGTTCTCCTCCGTGGGACTCTAAACTGGTGGGTGGCTCAGGTGTCGCTCATTATCATTTACTCTAACGGCCTCGCTCCGCTCCCACAGCTTGCGGCCCCGCCCCACTCGTCACATACCCCCATCGTCCCTCACAGGCTGGGGGGTACTCCCGAGACTGCGCTCTACTACCCCCTCTGCGGTGGAGCCAATCACGGCGGCCATAGCGTACCTGGGGGTAAGGACAGACGAGGCGAGAGAAAAGGACAGGGTGGCCGCGGGTCCTTAAAAAGTCTTAAATAAAGTTTTCCTAAAATAAGGCCTTAAAAAGTCTTAAAATGTCATAAATTCAGATTCAGTAGGTCTTAAATATTTTTGGTCACATTACCACAAACATTTCTCCAGTCTGACGGACCCAGTATGTCCACCAAGAGTAGGGATGCAGCGATTAACCGGTTTCGCGATTAACCGCGCTTTAAAACGTCACGGTTAATTAATCGTAAAGGTTCTGCTACACCGAGTGTTTCTGTTACACGTAACGGAACTGTTGCAGCTTGCGCAAAACGAAAACAAAGTTACACTAGCGGTGCACCGGCTTAAAATGACGTGCTTATCAGAGGCACGGAGGCTTCTACATGCATTAGACTAACTGTGACCGAGGGACCAAACAAATAATATTTCAGTTTATTTCCATCATTAGTAACAGTTTCCCCTGTGGGACAAATAAAGTTAATATTAGTCGTATATTAATAATAGGCTACTTCATTAACTTTATTTACTATCCCTGTTGTAGTATTATTCATAAGTAAAAACCAACAATATTTTTTTCACCATGTTTCCAAATTCTCTACCCCAGGTCCAAAAGAAATGTAAAGAAGGTACAAACTGAAAACATTAAATACTTTTGTGATCTATTTCCATTTGTTATTTTCAAAAGAGAAATACTGTCGTGGATGTTTACCTTTTTTAATTCCAATGGGAGAGATGGACTTTTTTTGTGTTTTGTTTATTATTATTTTGTGCTGTATTGTTGGTTACCGTGTTATTTCTGTTTCAAAAGCCACTAAATAACATTTTAATATCTTCTAAAGAGTGTTCATGTGATTTTATACATTAGTAATGTTGGGAAATGAATAAATGCATAATAATCGTCATAATCGTAAAACCGTGATTATACCTCAGACAATAACCGTACCAACAAAATCTATAATCGTTGCATCCCTAATCAAGAGTACTTTTTCTCCGCTGTAGTTACCGTGTCATCAGAGAGAATTGTGGTTACAGAATACAGTCGAACACCAGCTCGCTGTCCAGCCTCCGAACTACTTTAAATGGGTTCATGCAAGTTTACTGAAAAATGGCTTGAGAATTGTACTTGCCCGACAGGATTACCTGTTCAAAGAAAACTTTAATAATGAAATAAACACACAAACAGAACCAAAACACAAAATAAAGTGCAGGCCTGGTCCTCTCTCGTCTTTCACTGTCGTCACTCCTCCTTTATATCCTTCCGGAGCTCCTCCGTGGGACTCGAGACCGGTGAGTGGCGCAAGTGTCGCTCATTATCAATTACTCCACCGGCCTCGCTCCGTTCCCACGGCTCTCAGCCCCGCCCCTCTCACGGTTACAGAATACAGTCGAACACCAGTTCGCTGACCAGCCTCCGAACTACTTTAAATGGGTTCATGCAAGTTTACTGAAAATGGCTTGAGAATTGCACTTGCCCGACAGGACTAATAGCCTGATTAAAACTTAAGTGACAAAAAAAATAATCACGCATCAAAACGCGCGACTGATTCTTCTGATTTTATTACATTTAGCTTAAACAGCGATTGATAATGGATAGTGTATTTCTATGATCAATGTCGCGCTGTTGAGGCTCTCTGTGAGAGACTTTCATGGAGAAATCAAATCAAATGAGCGTAACGACACACATAAAGAAACTCACAGAACAAACATTCTGAGGTAAAAATTCTAAATGTTTAGTATATTCATAGCATGATATAGTTAAGTAACATACCATGACAAGGGAGCTATTTTGCTGAATATTTTCACCATTGCAAATGTTACACTGATTTTAATTCAACAAGCAATTAGTAAAGTATATGAAGTTACTTACATTTTAGACACAATTGACTGTTTTGTTCTATTTCACCAATGAAAATAGTTCCAAACAAAGATCAGAACAGAATTATTGCGCACACTCTCCAAGCAACACTGGCGTTTTTGTTACTGAATGATTCAGCGGTTTGAAGGAATCTGTTTAATGAATAAGTGACTTACCGCCACCTACTGGCGGTTTAGTCTCATGCTTAAAAGTTTGCATTTTTCCCCAACATTTCTCATTTGTATGTTAAAAATGTTATTTACAACATTAATCTCATAACATTGTTTATTGCAGTTGTAATTTTGCAGTGTAAATTATTTAATTTGATTGGTAACAGCCCTGTAGTGTATTCCATTTTTTGATCAATTGTTAGAATTTGACATGAAAGATGACACATGTAATAAGGTTAAAAAAATATTGGCCTTTATAAAGGTAAATGACATACTGTGGTAAAAACATGCAGATTTAAAAGTATGTAAAAGCTGACAGAAAACTGATTAAAATATTTCTTCAGAATAAATTGTTTACACCACCAAAAATCTCAGTGATGTGACACTTTTGTGGGAATATTTTGTATGGGATATTGTCTGCTGATATGAAAAGTTCACTGTATATCGTAATAACAAATAGCATTTTTGACAGCGATGATATTTTGTTTTCTTTTTACATTTAAACGTGTTAAATATGACATATGTATGTAATATAATGTGTTTCCATCACAGGTTTGGTCTTAAATTTCACATAAGCTCGTATTAAAATGGTCTTAAAAAGTCTTAAATTTAATTTGTTCATATCTGTAGACACCCTGAAGGAGACAGAAGGATGAGGAGCGATAGAGACGAGAGAGGGGAGAGAGGAAAAGAAAGAAAGAAAAAAAATCTTGGTCCGGTTCCCGGACACACTGCAGCTTGGTCCTCAACCAGCTGAGATGGTCTCACGGACGACTGCTGTGCACAAACAGAACCAAAACAACATTAATAGTCCAGGCCTGGTCCTTTCTCATTTTTTACTGTCGTTACTCCTCCTTTTATCCTGCCGGTGCTCCTCCGTGGGACTCGAGACGGTGAGTGGCAGGTGTCGCAGATGTCGCTCATTATCATTCACTCCACCAGCCTCGCTCCGTTCCCATGGCTCTCGGCCCCACCCCACTCGTCACATGTACGTTGTAATATTGTGTTTATTTTATGCACATAAATCTGATTTATCTCATATAGAATGCGTTTGGTTAAGCTAAAAGAGGGTTAATAGTGCTTCAGCTTGCTGGTGATCATCTTTAGCTCAGTGCACACAGCTCATACAACAGTGCACAACATTAATAACTATGATTGGGATTGTCATATATATATATATATATATATATATATATATATATATATATATGTTTTGCATAAAATAATTAACATATTGCGTTGTGCATAGAAGAAATTAAAGTGATAAAGGTGATAACAATGGTTTGATCAGAGTGATCAAGTTTTTTTTTCACTGAGCATTGTATTGTTTGTTTGTTTACAGTTTTATTGCACAATATACACATTTTTGCAATGTTATTGCACTACGTGCATGTTTAACATGTTGACCTCCAGTGTGAGGTAATTATTTTTTTATTCAGTTTGCACATTTTCGTGTTGTGAAAAAAATAAAAAAATGTATTTCTGGTCAAACCATATACCTGAAAAAAATTAGAATTTTGATATGTTACAAAAGAGTTGTAAAATGTAATGGTCACAGTTTTGTGGTTTTGAAATATGTTGTGGCAAAGCAGATAAAATGCAAATCTGTATTACTTCTGAAAAAGTTTTTGTTTTATCTTCCCGGAAAAGTAATCATTTTGATATATGTTGTGGAAAAGCAAATAAACAGGGGGAAAAAAACTGTTATTTAGCACTTTTTTTTTCAACTGAGAAATAAATAATGTAACATATATGTAACATTAAAAATGTATCATAAACACCCGATGTCATATATATTACAGATCTTTCACAAGGAGGGGTTGTATTTCAAAAACCTAATTTTCCTATAAGAAGAAATTGGTCCGGGTTCTTATGGGTTAATTTAGCAGCGCACTGTGCAGCAGACTCGATTTGAGAGGCCAGAATTACAGCTTTCTCTAAAGTGAGATCATCATCTTCCAATAACAGTTTCTCACAACTGAGTGAATTGTTTGTTTGCTCAATTAACTGATCTTGTATCATCTCATCTGATAAAGTACCAAAACAGCACAGTTTTGCCAGCCCTCTCAAGTCAGCGGTCAGCAACTTCAGCAAACGTTTTATAAGATAAACCTTTCATAAAATGTAAACATTGGAAGATACACAGTAGTTACGGTAGCTTATGTCTACAAATCTAAAAGTAAAAATACCTTTTCCACCGACGAAAGAGAAAACTCAAGGCCATGCATGGATACATGCAGCGTACCCTAAAGAGTGATGTCACTCGATCATGTGCATTTGATCGTCACTTGCTTGTATCTCCCAATGTGGCTATATATTACTCTTTTTCTTTTTTTTTGTTATTTGAGCTGTATGTGCTATACCAGTCTTAAGTGCAATAAATAAAACAATAATTTTCCTAAAGTAACTTTTCTTGTCGCCTGACCAACAGTTTGACATGTAATATGTAGAATTCATTTATTTGTCTTACCTGTGTTATTTTCCACTTTCTTTTCCAGCAATGTGCTTTTTTCATTGTTAATGTTTTCCTTGGCTGCATTCATCACTCTAACACTTCCGATGGCGCTGCTCTGTTGCGACCCGGGCTACCTCATGCTGCTGCTACTTTGTGTTGTTTTTAGTGTGTGTTATATAGCTGTTACTTATGTTATCTGATCCTTGTCAGAGGAATCTGAATTAAATCAGTCACACGCTGGTTAACATTTTACCAACAGCGTCTTTACTTCTCTGGCATGAATTCACCAACAACATGAATAAAACTTCCCATCATGCCTCATAATCCCCCGTCTTAAAGACACAGATGTTATTATAGTACATGACATCCCCCCCAAAGCTGGATAGAGAACATCCATTTAACCTGTCTCAATCTTGCCTAAACACACAACATATTTAAACATTTAACTAGCAAACACCACATTCTTTAACTTGCTTTAAACTTACTTTAAATTTACCAAACCATGAACATCTCAACAGCACTTTGTATTCACCAGTTCAAGAATTAACCTAATGACAAAGTCTGTAAATTCTTTGGGTACTTTCCGTTCCCTTTTGGGCTTCACATAAGTGATGTCTTTGTGACACTCTGTTGTAGACACAGGTCGGTCTGAGCCCTCTAGCACTGACTGTTGATTTGTGTCCTCAGAACAGCCGTCATTTAAGATCCAATTTGCTGAAGATCATCGATCCGTTCATACTTTGTAAAAGTTCATCTATTGTTGGAATGGGGTATCTTTCTCTGATGATTGCTTCATTGGCTTATCGCATGTCAAGAAAAAGTCTTATTTCAGAATTGGCTTTTGGCACGATTACAACTGGATTAATGTCAATTTCTAGGAGTTATTTTATCTTTTCCTCCACAGGACCTTTTAGATTGAATGGTATTATTTTTAAAGGAGGCTCGGCTACTGGCTGGACTGTTTGATCTATGTACAGACAGATTTGCTTAGTTTTCAGCTTACCAACTCCCTGAAACACTTCTGGGTATTGTGCCTGAAGTGATTGCTTGAGGTTCGTTACTGCTGCAAGGTCTGTGCCAATTCTGAGTACTCCAAGTTTCGTGGATGTGTCTCTGCCTAACAGAGGATCACCAGCCCCTTTTATGACAATGAACTCGGCCTGTACCATCCGACTGCCTATTCTTACATCAAGCTCCCTTTACTGGCAAAGGCTGATCAGATGAGTAAGAGAACAATTTCTTCTCTGCATCTGGGATGTACGAATAACATTTAATTCTCTCTGATTTCAGTTTCTACCAAGTTTTCTCATCAATGACATTGCTGGATGCACCTGAGTCTACCAGCATCCTCAAATGAACATTCACCAAGCAAACATTTAATCTATCTGTAGCCCTGCAGTCATCTTGGATGACAAATGCATATTCAGTCTGTCCTTCCACTTGGTTAACTGTTTGCTTAACATTTTTAGTTTTGCACATTTTTGAGAAATGGTCACGTCCTTTACATCAGTGTTAATTTTGACAGCAAATTTTGATTTAGTTTTAGTCATGGTCTTTTGACTAAAATGCCATTTAGTTTTAGTCATATTTTAGTCATCTGAATTGTTTTTAGTTTTAGTCGACTAAACATAATAAGATTTTAGTTGACTAAATCTACAGTAAATTTAGTCGGCTAAAATTTAATAGGTCTAGTTACAGTGCATTTATTAAGCATTTCTCTAAAATTTCCAAACTCATTATATAGGTTTGATATTAAGGTTTTATCATGATAGACACTGATTTAACTGTTGTGACACACAACATGCCTTTATGTTAAAATTTAATTAAACCACTTGAACAACAAGAACATGTTCTTCTTTTTAATGAAATGCCAATGGTTATATCGGCTAATTATGCATTCTTTATAGCAACTTGTTTACCATATTCTTCAACACGTTCTCCCTACTGTTTACGTTCACTTAAGACATAATCAACTGTGTTTACGTGAATACTCCTCAAAATGGACAACTCAAGATCATTTTGTGTGTAATTCTCCGTTCATGCAACGCCAAAGAGTACTCGTGCGCTGTGAGAGGCGCTTTCTGTGTGTGTGCTTCAGTGTCTGCGCTCAGAAAACCGGACCGAATTGAGTTCTCTCTTGTGTCGTCAGATTTATCCATATGTCTGCTCTTCTCTTACTCCCACATATTAACATTTTTGAACGTTTTATGTGAGGTGCAGCAAGTGTACGTTAGCTTACGTCCGTTGGCCGACTCCTCCGCTCCCTCACGGACGGCAGCCATCCCTCCACATCCCTCATGGGAAGAAGGAGGCGGGAACCGGCGAACCTTTAAACCAAACTTTAATCAAATAAACAAACACAAAACGAAAGTAATTTATTTCATTTGTAGGCCTATCGTGATTTTTTTTATTTGTCAAGTCAAGTCAAGTCACCTTTATTTATATAGCACTTTTAACAATACAGATTGTGTCAAAGCAACTGAACAGCATTAATTAGGAAAATGGTGTGTCAATAATGCAAAGTGACAATAGTAAACACTAATTTTTCAGTTAAAGGCAGTTCATCATTGAATTCAGTGATGTCAACATCCAGCTCAGTTCAGTTTAAATAATATCTTTGCAATCAAGTCAACAGTATCGCTGGAAATGAAGTGTCCATAACTAAGCAAGCCAGAGGCGACAGCGGCAAGGAACCAAAACGCCATCTGTAACTCCATTTGTGCTATCATTAGTAATTTCTTTATTTGTTCTTATTTTATTATTAACTGCTTAGCCTCCTTGTCATTTTTTATTCAATTCAAAGTTTTAAATCAAGCTATCTCGTGCAACTGCAACAAAGTTACCCAGCTGTAAAATCAAAAATACACTGAGTGAGCAAAACTTTGTTTAATTACCATTATAACTAGCTATGTTTATATATGAATAAAAGCCTACATCAAAATCTGTCATATAAATTGGTCTCTTCATTAGAAATTAGCCTACTGATTTTTTATAATATTAAAAATATCTGTATGATATTATATTCTGCAGTTCTTCCCTGTTGTACCGAATATCTATACTTTTCAAATTATCACATCGAAGTTAGAAATTCAAATATTGTGACAAAATTAATTTTGTAGGGTGCCACAAATTTGTTAAAATTTCCAAAGGGTGCCACGACTAAAGAAAGGTTGGGAAACACTGATTTAGAAGACGAAAACCAAACAAAGTTAAGTCTGACACAGAGAAAGGGACCGATGGCCGGCCAGCCAGGGTTCGTCTTTATTTAAATGTATGTGTGTGCACTTCTAACATGTTTGGTTGGTAAAATAAGTGTTGTAAATTCAAATCAGAGCGTCTTCCGTGTCTGGAATGGGTGTATTCTTGAGTCTATAAGGTAACAATAATATAATAAGATAACCTTGTTTGAAATGGGTTTGGCTAAAAGAATGTTTTGGTTTCGTCTATACTACTAGGTACTTATACTATATTGACTGGGTTAAATAGAATTGCATTTCTAAAAAGAGACTAAAATACAATTTTCATTGACTAAAACTAGACTAAATGTCATCAGTTTTCATCGACTAAAACTAGACGAAAATAGTCATGGATAATTCTGACTAAAATAAGACTAAAATGCTCTTTTAGTTGACTAAAACTTGACTAGACTAAAAAGAGTATGAACGTGACTAAAACGAATAAAAACTAAAATGACAGCTTCACACAAAGACTAGACTAAAACTAAAATTAAAACAGGCCGCCAAAAACAACACTACGAGAGCGTTACAAAAAGCAGATTTATTTACTCATATATGAACAAAAAATAAATAAATAAAAATAAGTAAAAAAAATATAATCAACATTTCAATAAAATATATAAAATAAGTTAAGTGCAAAAATAAAATTGTAAACTATTTTATGTTTGTTGATATTTATTTAAAGGCCCAGTTAGATAAATCTGTAAAACTTGAAGCTGTTACATTCCGATTATGTAATAGTCTTGCTATCATTTATCCACGGCTCAATAACGGCATGCAACAGCTTGTCGTGTATATTGACTTGTATTATGTAACCTAGTTAGTGAGCTGATAATCTTTCTTTTGAACGAAAATTTTTAGTAAAAGCATGTAAATCCTTAGATTTCCATCCTTAAATGCAAATGCTTAGATCTAGTGCCTTCTAAACACAAAGGATTGTGGCAGTATCCAAATTCACATTATGTAATATATATATTGCTCAGTTCACAGTGGTATATTGTTTGATTTAAAACAATGTGAAAAACTCAAAATTGAAAAATGATTTAATTATTTACTCATCTAAAAGATATTTCGAAGAATGTTGGCAACCAAACAGTTTTGGTTCCCAGTGACTAAAAATAGTCACAAAAACAAAAAATACAATGGAAGTCGATGGGAATGGAAACGGTTACCAAAATTCTTCGAAATATATTTTTTTATATTCTAGAAAAAAAGAAATTCATACAGGTTTGGAATGACACTAGGGTGTGTACATGGCCTAATTTTCATAATTTTTTGGGTTGACTCGAATAGGCTGTTAAAAGTTCACTGTGTTCATATTTAACATGTCGAATAATCTCTATCAAATAATCATTCAGTTTCTTTAGGTAGTAGTTCAGCACTTGGTGGTTTGTGTGTGTGTGGATTTGGATGTACATGATGATGTATGTTCAGAGTTTTGTAATGGGTTTCATGTTTAATGCATCCCTGAAAACAACTGAAAGCAGCCTAGATTCAAGATTGTATTTGTCACATACAAGTTATATAAATATACAACAAACAGTGAAATGTAGGTCTTGCCATATTCTGTCAACTGTGCAATAAAAGAGATAATACAAAAGAATACTTTTTTTTAAATACAAAGAATTAAAAAAAATATATACATTATATTATTTAAACTTTCACTAAATATATATAATTTGTATAAATGTAAATATGGAGTAAATCCAAGCCTGAATATTATGTTATGTAAATAACCTAATCAATGCTTTTTTAATGTGTATCTTAATCTATTGTCCAATCAAAAAAAAAAAGGCTTGGTTTTACTCTATATTTACATTTATAAATAAATAAATAAATATTTAGTGAAAGTTTAAATAATATTATATGGTCTCAAGTCCACTATCTTAGAAAGTTTAGAAAACATCCTGAGATACAATGCAGAACTATAGGGGAGATTCAGCTTGAAGGCCAGTAAGTGCCCTTCATGGAAGACACCATATCACACGTTATATAATTATCTAATGTCTATCTAAAGGTATTTATGGACAGATTGCATGTTTGTATTTGTGAATCAAGGCCGCGGAACAACAGTCTCAAAAGTATCTATACATATAACATAAATGTGTTTATTTCTTGTCTCATTAGTGCTTAGCGCAGTTGTCGTTGCTAGGAAACGCTTGTTTTGTTTACTGTGTTGAGACGTGCTGAAGTTGCGTTTGGTCTCGTACTGTATCGCGTACCTTGTCAGTGTCGTGCGCTTGCTTAGCCCTTTGCTGTGATAAACAGGAAAGTGTGTTCATCTGAATTCAATTTCCGTTTTGTCAAACAGATATAAAAAAAGGTTAGTACACCGTTAGCATTCGCAGCAGCCCTCGTGTGAAGCCCTCCTTGTGTTAAGACCGAAGAGTGTAAAGACCATCGACTCTACCGTGCGACTCCACCTTGCAGGGACACCGGCAAGGGACACAAGTTTCGTTTTTGAATCAACCTCTTTTTTACACCATTCTTCACTTCTGTTTCAGTTTTTATGACCAACTCTTACTATGTGTTTCCAGATCCCTACTATCACTACCACTCGCAAACCACGCATCACACACTATAGGCAGTGCAATCCTAACAACCTGCACTCTTTGCCTATGTCTGCTAATACACTACTTTCTTTTTCTATTGGTCTCTGGAATTGTCAGTCTGCAGTAAACAAAGCAGATTTTATTACTTCTATTACTAGTCATTCAAGACTAAACCTCATGGCCCTGACAGAGATGTGGATCAAACCAGAGGACACTGCTACTCCTGCAGCACTCTCCAATAATTTCTCTTTTTCCCACTCCCCCCGTCTGACTGGAAGTGGTGGAGGTACTGGTCTGCTTATCTCTAATGATTGGAAATGTATTCCTTAACCTTCTCTGGGTATTAGCAGCTCCTTTGAATCACATTCACTCACTATTACCCACCCTTTTAAAATCCATTTTGTAGTTGTTTATCGATCCCCAGGACCACAAGGTAACTTATTGGATGAATTAGATGTGCTGCTCTCAAACTTTCCTGAGGATGGTACTCCCCTAGTTATGCTTAGAGACTTCAACATATAAACCTCAGGCTGCAGACCTCCACACTCTGCTTGCCTCTTTTGATCTCAAGCGAGTATTAACTACGGCTACTCACAAATCAGGCAACCAACTGGACCTTATTTACACACGACACTGCTCCACTGATCATGTGCTGGTTACTCCACTGCACACCTCGGATCACTTCCTCCTCACTCTTAACCTCAACATGGTTCCTGACACAACACATACCCCTACACATGTCACTTTTCGACGTAACCTATGCTCACTCTCACCCTCCCGGCTATCTGCTATGGTTTCATCTTTGCTTCCTTCCCCTGAACAGTTATCATCTCTTGATGTTAACTATGCTACTGAAACTTTCCGCTCCACTCTTACGTCTTGTTTAGACAGTGTCTGCCCATTGTCTTCCAGTCCAGGCCGTACCACCCCTTCTGCCCCTTGGCTGTCTGATGTTCTCAGCGAGCATCTTTCTAAGCTCAGGGCTGCTGAAAGGGTGTGGCGCAAATCAAAAAATACTATACTAACTGTTAGAAAACACTCTCTGTCTTTCTGTTGAGTCCAGACATGTCTTACCCCTCCTTTTTCTCCCTCTCTCTCATTCTTATATATACAACGCATTCTCTCTGAATTCCTGCTTCTATATCCATCTCTCTCTCCTGATATTATGTTTTAAATATGTCTTACTTATATGCGAAGTATGCATGCTTAAATGTATACATTAGCTTCTCTTGTTTTTCTGTCCCCAATAAGGACATGAATGTTAGGACTATAAGGGTAAAGGAGTTCATGATGAAACCATGAAGACAGTTCAGCATTCTTCGCAAAAGTCTATTCCTAATATGTCCATGTTTTTCTGTACATGTGGCTATTTTATATAAACACATGTTCTTGGCCAAAGATCCTACGTGTATGTTATTCATATCCTCATTGGTTAAGAGGATGAAACTCCCCTCGACATATGCCTATATAATATCTGTATTTCTATGAATAAATTGAAGTATTGAGGATACATTTGACTGTGTGTTTTCTTACTTCCCGGCCGTCTATCTACACTTTAAATAACTGAGAATTCTTCAAGGTGGCAAAGAGAATTTACTGAGGGACCAAATTGTTATTCTTTATTAACACTAACCTTAATGTGTATCAGTCACTCCTCTCTTCCTTCTCTGCTAATGTCTCCACTGCTAAAAGGACATACTATCATAACAAAATTAACAATTCATCTAACTCTCGCATACTCTTTTAAACATTTTCCTCCATCCTCTGTCCTCCTCCTCCCTCTCCTTCATCAACTCTAACAGCTGACAACTTTGCCACATTCTTTATTAATAAAATTAAAACCATCAGTCCACAATTTTCCACACCACAATCTGTCAAGCACATCTTACCAGCAAACATAGTTTAGTTTAGTTTCTTATATAGCACATTTCTACTGCCTTCGGAGCAGCCCAAAGTGCAATGGATTCAAGAAACCAAAAAGACAATAACAACACAATATCTTAAAAAAAACAACATACATTACATCTCTCCTAAATCAGACTCAAACGCCATAATATAAAAGTGCTTCTTCAAAGCCGTTTTAAAAGCGAACACAGAGGGGGCAGTGCGAATGGCTAGAGGTAGATTATTCCATAGCCGAGGACCGGCAATCGAAAAGGCCTGATCGCCTTTTCGCTTAAGTCGGGACCGCGTTACCAGGAGCAAACGTTTGTCAGCAGATCTCAAGTTCTTAACAGGTTTATGTAAAGTAACAAGGTCTGACAGATACGAAGGCGCGAGACCGTTTAAAATTTTAGTATTATTACTAGGACCTTAATATCAATCCGATATCTAAGAGGTAACCATTGCAAGGATGCTAAAATTGGAGTTATTCTATCCCTCTTTCTCCTACCAGTCAATATCCTGGCAGCAGCATTTTGAACAAGCTGCAATCGATTTACCAATGACTGTGAAATTCCTAAATACACAACATTACAATAATCCAATCTAGATGATATAAAAGCATGGATGGTTGTCTCCAAATTTCTAGATGAGAGCATTGGTTTAATCTTAGCTATTAACCTTAAGTATTAGAAACTAGTTTTCACCACAGTATTACCTTGTTTTACAAAACTCAGCTCTGAATCAAAAAATACACCCAGATATTTTGCGTATGGATGAACATTTCTAGAAAGAGGCCCCAAATAACTAGAAATAAGGGGTGAAGAGCTAAGAGGACCAAAAACAACCACATCTATTTTGTTCTTAAAATTCTTAGCCATCCAGGATTTTACATCCTCAAGACACTTGACAATTGTAGCACAGGACTTATCAACTGGGTGTAATGGGACATACAATTGAGTATCGTCAGCATAACAGTGGTATGCAATCTCATATTTCCTAAAAATACTCCCCAAAGATAACTTATATAGGGAAAACAGCATTGGACTTAATATGGACCCTTGTGGGAGCCCACAAAATAGAGGAACTGAAGGAGAAGAATAATTACCCATTGTAACAGATACAGACCTATTAGACAGATAAGAAAACCATCATAAAACAATACCATTAATCCCAACCTCCCGCTGTAAACAATCTAACAAAATTCTATGGTGGATTGTATCGAAGGCGGCAGTTAAGTCGAGCAGAAGTAGAATAGCAGAGTTACCAGAATCCAAAGTGTGCAAGAGGTCATTTGACACTTTAAGAAGAGCCGTTTCAGTGCTATGATGAGCCCTAATGGATATTATCATGGATATTATGTTCTGTCAAGAATGCAGACAATTGGAGAGAGACAATCTTTTCCAACACTTTTGACAAAAAAGGCGATGTGGAAATAGGTCGAAAATTACTAAAATCAGACGGATCAAGATTTGACTTTAGAAATGGCCGAATCACTGAATGCTTAAGGCATGATGGGATAACACCAGATCTCAGCGAGTTATTGATGATCATCAAAACAGCTGGACCAATCACACCTAACACCTTTCTAAAGAGATGAGTTGACATAAAATCCACTGGAGAGGTTGACGGTTTTAGTTTTAAAATGAACTCCATCAATTTATCAAGATCCATTGGATAAAAATTAGTTAACTGAGCATTGTCAGCCACCAAACTGGAAGATTCAGAGGCATAGTAAATACTCGGAATAGATGCATATAAAACCTGAATCTTACAGTCACAAATCTGGAGGGAGGACTCAAATGCAGAGTGAGTGTTTAACAGATTTATTGAGACAGACTTGTAGACAAGGCGAGAGATGGAGAGGAGAGGGGTGAACACAGTCCAAACACTAGGCAGGGAAAGACTTGGGAGACAGGCAGGCCTTGGTGATCGGCCACAGAGTCCAGTCCAGGAAGGCAGACCACCAGAGAGCAGTGAGGCAGCGAAGTAGGAGGCCAGAGGTAAGTAGTGGTGACCTGACACTCTTCACCACTCCACACTCGGGCTGTATCAGGCACCGCACAGGCCTAACAGCGTGGCAGACCCGGGAAGATGACCAATAGCTCAGCCTGCAAGTCAGAACAGGGCAGGACTAGACTGGGGACTGACAAAAACCTTAAAATGAACAATCTGGCTGGGAGAATTCAGGAACACGATGAATAGAAGTGATAGAAAACACGCACGTTGAAACAATGAACGGACAACACGAGAGGCAGGGAGCACAATATAACTGGGCAGAGAACAGGAGGAACAGGTGACAACACTCAGACAAACGAGGGGGGAACGAGAGTGGCAGGTGACGGCACTCAGCCAAAAGAGGACTAAACAAGGGGGCGTGGCAACAGGAAACAAGGAGGCAGGACGAAAGAAGCACATGGCAGACAACAACAAAGATAGAGCCATGTGCTCACACATACAACGCAAACATGAAATGGAGACAAGACAGATGAGGCAGGATCCTGACACTTACTCCTAACAAAAGTCTAAAAACTTTGTGCACAACTCAGGGTTAGCATTAGGAAATTATGATTTCTTTGGATTAACCACTTTATCAAAGGTATTAAACAACACTTTTGGATCATGTGAATCTTTAGATATAAAATCTGAAAAATACAAAATTTTAGCTGTTTTAACAGCACACTGAAAGGCCGACAGACAGTTCTTAAAAATATCCTTGGATCCTTTTAACCTATCTGATTTCCATTTACGTTCTGCTTTACGGCACTCCCGCCTAAGCGCCCGGGTATGATGGTTGAACCAAGGGTGTGAACTCGATTTAAAGACTTTTGGTTATAGTGGTCAATAGTATGTCCATGTGTATGTGTAGGTCCATTAATATGTTGGACGAGGTCAAATGAGTCGATGAATTGTACAAACTCCTTCACCAGATAATGGGAAGGGCAACATACATGAATATTAAAATCACCCAAAATCAGTAATTTATCCACAGTGGGAACTACATTAGACAGAAAAGACCCGAACTCATGAAATAAAGTCCTTATTATGCTTGAGAGGTCTATAAATAAGGGCACAAATCACAGGACAAGAAAGTTGCATTCTTAATAACTGCAGCTTAAATGTAGAATAATGATGAGTGAAAGGTACAAGCCTACATTTAAATTAAAAAAAAAAACTGTGGTCAAGCCTCTACCTCGGCCCACTAGTCTCGGAGAATTAAAATAATCACAATCCTCTGGTGTTAAGTCAGCTAATGAATCCAACTCACCAGCGTTGAGCCAAGTTTCCTTCAAAAGTAAGAAGTCCAAGTCTTGTGATGTAAAAAAAAAAAATCATTTAAAATAAACAATTTGTTACAAATGGATCTTGCGTTTGGATCTTGGCCAGTATCCATGGGCAAATCCGCTGGTTTAACGTATTCCAAGGACCGAAGGTTCTGAAAATCTACACGCCTCTTGGCGTAGCGATGTCTTAACAATCGGCGAAAAGGGGTCGATGTGTCTGGAAGAAGTGGAACAAGGCCGATAGCCCGCAACTCCGGTGATAACCCGCATCTCTTCAGCCTAACAAGAAGACCACTGTGCTTTCCTCTTTTTCTTAGGCACTTTTTACGATGAAGAAAGCAGCCCGTTGAGCAACAGGTAATCACAGGCAAGGTAGAAGACATCTGTGAGTTAAAGAAGTGGTCCTCAATCGGGATATGTTTGCAGCAATCCGTGGAAGAGAGACGTAATTCAAGAAGGGCTTGGCGTTCGTAAGTATGAGCAGCGGTGGTTTCTATCATGAAAAGCCAAATTGCCCACAACAATACATATAAAAAAATTGACAAAGGTGAAAGTCGACGGCAAGCCAGCAAACAAACCGGCACCATCTTGACTCAGCCCTCAGAAAGCATACACTTGTTCACATCCTTCTCTTCACTCTCTGAGGCAGAAGTCTCCAAACTTATCCTTTCTAATCATCCTTCTACTTGTCCGCTTGATCCTATTCCATCTCAAGCTCTTGTTCTGTCCAGGCTGGACTATTGCAATGCTCTCTTGGCAGGTCTTCCAGCCAATTCTATCAAACCTTTACAATTAATCCAGAACACGGCAACAAGATTCATTTTTAATGAGCCGAAAAGAACACACGTCACACCTCTGTTTATCAATTTGCACTGGCTACCAATAGCTGCTTGCATAAAATTCAAGGCATTAATGTTTGCCTACAAAACCACCACTGGCTCTGCACCCCTTTACCTAAATTAATTACTTCAGACTTATGTGCCCTCTAGAAGCTTGCGTTCTGCAAGTTAATGTTACTTTATTGTTCATCCCAAAGAGGCACAAAATCACTTTCACAGATTTTTTCATTAAATGTTCCCTCCTGGTGGAATGACCTGCCCAACTCAATGCAAGCAGCTGAGTCCTTAACCATCGTCAAGAATCGGTTAAAAAACATCTCTTCCATCTTTATTTAACCCTCTAACTTTAGCACTCTCTATTCTAATTCTATTCTTTATAAAAAAAATAAATGTGCCTAAAGTGCAGTGTGTTTTTATGTCCATGTTTAGAAGTCTGATGGCTTGAGGGAAGAAGCTCCTCCTGAGCCTCTCCATTCTAGCCATTAGGCTGTGGAAGCATCTGCCTGATTGTAGCAGACTGAACAGTGAATTTCCTGGGTGGGTGCAGTCTTTGAGGATCTTAACAGCCCTAGCTTTGCATCACCTGATGTGGATGTGATGCAGAGAAGGGAGATCAGTTTTGCAGGTATGCTCAGTTCTGGATTGAGCAGTACCCATACCACAATGAAATGTACTGAGCCAGTATACTTTGTATAGCCCCGATATAGAACATTTTCAGGATCACAGGGGAAACCTTTCTCTGTAGTCTCAGATGGTACAGAGTAGTCTGACTTTTTTTATTATTATTTGGGCATAAATTAGGGGTGGAACGGTTCTTGGTAAAAAAAAATTGAACCGTACGGTTCTCCACACATGGTTCGGCACGCGCTAGGACCGCCGTTCAACTGAAATCTGACAACGCATTTGTAATAGGGTTTGTTATAAATAACACGTAAAACAAACAGGGTTCAGCTATTGTATGTTTCTGTTGATGGATGCGCTTTCTGGCTTCCCAATACAT